CCCAACAACAACAACAACCGCCAATCTGAAAATTTTGGAGGCTCGGTGCTACCGGACCAAAATGGCTGGTGGTGCCAGCCAAAAGATAAGAAAAAAAGTGTTGTGCTGGCGTTTTGGGGATCCACCTCAGCTAGACGGCATCCAAAGAAGAGTGGTCGCATTAAGCAGTAGTGGGTACCTCCCCGCCCGACAACGTGGCTCGGCAAAGGAGGCAGAACTTCAGGCTCCAGTGGACGCCATTCCACTGACCGGCAGGCAGTTCTTAGGATTGGTCCAGGAAAGAAGAGCCCGCAATCAAACGCCACTTTTTTCCCATAACCATGATGATCTACAGAGTGCACAGGACAAAAAGGGAGTTAAACCACTACCATCTTCACCCGAATAGAACGCCCGGTCATCATCGCTGCATCTGGACTGAAAGTTGGGCCAAAAATACAGTTATAATGACCGTATGTTGAATTTGGGAGAAGAAGGTAGTATGTTTGCCAGTCATTTTTTCAGCGCTGTGGCGTGCATGCAGCCACGATTATCGGGAAAGTGCCGGGGTGGCGTTTCTCTAGGTATCTATCCAGGCAAAACGGGGCACATGCGAGACCCATTTTTCCTGGATGGATATCTAGCGAAACGGCACCCCAGTACTTCCCGAAAGTTGGGCCTGCATGCAAGCCGCATATTTGATTTCTTAGCTGGGAAACGTACTGGCGGTTTAATGCCTATGTGAGCCTCAACTTCATGGGGAGTTGGGGACAGGATTAGAGAGAGTGCTAAGAACAATGACTATCATTATTATGCTTACGAGGCCATTGCGCAAATTTTCTCCCTTCGTTTTGACCTAGCGGAGTACGGCTTTCCACAAATAGGAAGCCGTACTCCGCTAGGTCGAAAGGGATTCGCCTCTACGGCTTTCCACAAATTTTAACGGTTTTCTTTATCAACTTTTCACAAATATGTGGTGTGTCCTTCCCGACATCCGTTAAAATTGGAACGATACAGAGAAAGCAGATTAGCATGGGCCCCTGCGTGAGGATGACATGCATAAATCGACAAATATGTCGTGTATAACACTGTATATAGGTCACAACTTACAGGTGTAAGCATTAGTTCCTATCCTCCACCGAGAAGTAATAAACCGATGAAAAAAGGGATTCGCCTCTACATGACCACATGATTCCAGCCTCGTCTCCGGGCTCGTGTGCAAACCTTATGCCAGCTTCTCATCATATCAAAAGCAATGGAAGATTCCACACCATGTCTTTCCACAATAGACTGGTTAGAGCAACAAGGCAAGTCGTCCGCTTTATGCTAGTTCTTGTAGCACTTAGGTCTGCACAATTCTGCAATAGCTACAGTTAGCAAAAAAAAAAAAAAAAAGAAAGTTCACCATTGCTTGGCGACATGGCCGCGCACTGTGTCTGCAGGTAAGGTCCTGGTGGTACTGGGCGTGGTTGCTCATCACATGCCTCTCTCCTTTCCTTGTTCTTTTTTTTGTCAAACAGTCCCTCCAGTGCTAGCGATGCTGTTTAGAGCAGACATTGCTAGCTCCTGTGGGGGATCAAACCAATGTTCTTTGGGTTGCTGCAAGCACACCCCTAAAAATTCTGAAAATTCTGAAAATTCTGAAAATTCTGAAAATTCTGAAAATTCTGAAAATTCTGAAAAGCAGCAAAAGCTGACATAAAGGTGAATTTTGCATTAGGGGTTTAGGCTCCTTTCTTTTCCTTTTTTTAACCTTTTTTTTTCGCTGTTGGTTCATTCTTTGTCCACTCTATGGATTGCTGACAAGTCTGGTTCAAAAGATATGAAAATGTATAAAACCCTTAAAATTTCGGGCTCTGTTAAGCACTGCTCGTCATGGAATGCCCCTATGGCTTTAACGTTTTCTCAATTACATAAGATTAAAATCATGCCCTTCTGTCCTTCAGGACATCCGTTAAAATTGGAACGATACAGCGTGTGAAAATTAGCATGGCCCCTGCACAACGACGGCACCCATCAATCGAGAAATGGTCCAACAAAAAAA